CTTTATAGCACACCAGGAATGGTCTATTAGAATTTATAATAGAACAACATACCCTTGAGACCTAAGCCACCTGGAATCAACTGTGAGACACATAGAAACTACCAAAAACCTAGGCTTTATTCGCTCTCCAAAGGCTATGAGCAAAACAACTAAGCTTAGTATTCTCTGTTGCTTCTGATACTAGATATTGCTTCCAATATTTCTAATTGTAGAGACAATTCAATAGAATCAGAAATTCACCAGACTTCAAAGGATGTGGGATCTGACAACTTGTCTGTTTCCCATAGTCTATAAGGTTCCAGCAGATACTGGAGTCATGGGTACAACGTTTTCTTGGCTGAGAAATATTTGATACCGAGAACACTCCACACCAGTCCTGGCTTATTGCCCACTCTCACTGGGGAGAATCACTTGGGGAGAACTGAAGCACTGACAGATTTGCTAAATGAATACACACATCTGTTCTTTTTATGTTGAGTATCCACAGAGAGAAGAATTATAAGAGAATGTGTTAAAAGGAAGATAATCCTTTAGAGACTTCTCCCAGCCTTTTAAACTGCCTCCTGGAGCATGAACTTATCCTATGTAAGATGAAACTTGTCAAAAATTAAACAAAACCTGTCATATTGTCTGAAGGCAAAAAAAAAAAAAAAAAAAAAAAAGGCAAGAAAAATAAACATCAGAATCCTACTTGCTTACAATACTATGAGTTTTATGGCTCTTTTGTTTCTTAAACCTAAGCAGCCAATCTGTTTTTGATCTTCCATTTATGCAACATATCTAGTTTTCTCTCATTGCCTCGCCTGACATGAAGTGAGAGCCTGTACATTTCTCACAGGAGCTCTGATTCTTCATGCTGTGACTCCAAGGCCCCTCTCTATCAAATTCCAATCAAAATCTGCGCACAATATTACCTCAACCCAATGCCTTCAGCATGTTGAAGGTGGTTGTCCTCTGGTGTTAAACAACAGATGAGATTGTTCCAGAATCTCTCTGGTTCCACAGCTGAGAGACAAAAGCCACCATTTGCATAGGGTATTATCCCTGATGAGTGCTTATGGAGCACACACTTTCCTTCCATTTTTCAATCATGATGTGAGATAAGTAATTAGTTATTTTCATTCTTCTGTTACAGATGAGGAAACTTGAGATTTAAATAACTAACTTAAGGTCACAGACAACTTCAGATTCCAGGCCTTCTTTTTTTTCTACTGGACTGATAGCTTTCCTTGATTACATCATTTCTTATTCCATTATGTCCCAAAAATGGGAGATCATGAATTTATTGTTTCCCAGAGATCTCTAAATGGAAGAGGTGAGAGGAGGATTGTGTAACTCATTAAAGTATAAATTCTGAATTGCCTTTTTCTTGGGAATGAGAAACAGAACGAGTGTGGAGGCTGGCTTTGCATAACTTGGTTTGGAGGGCAAGTCCAAGATTTCACAACTCAGTGTGCCTAGGCCACTCCCATCTGCTCTAATACCTGGTGAGGCAAGACTCTCTTTGGTGGGCTACAACTCTACAACTTCATGCAACCTAAGGCCCAAGAAGCTGTAGTTTTGAATATTTTTACTTAAAACTGTGGAAGATATATTTCAGCTTTTGAGGCAATCAAAATAGTCCACATTGTAGAAAATGATTCTAGACACACAAAATTTTTCTGGATTTATCAATAGGAAAAGCTCTCTACCCCCACCCGTACCCCAAAAAACCCCAAAAACTTTGTAGTAGAATTAATCATAACCTTATAAAACTAACATTCAAGAAATGGTGTCATAAGTATGCACCACTGGGTAAGACTAGGAGCTGCTACCCTTCGAGGTGATTTAAAACAGAATATTGGCAGAAGGAATTATTGTGGCAGTCGGTTAATATGAGTGAAACTCAGTCTCCTCTACATACCCAATTGAGGAATGTAGTTATTAAGCCCTACACTGTGACTCAGCTCAGGAGATACGAAATGATTTAACTCACTAGGAGATTTGGAAGTTTTCTTCAAGATTCCTAACCCATAGCAAAATTGGTTGATATAATACTTGGGATAGCAGCCAACTTGATATTTTTTGTATTTTTATCTCCATCTTGACTATAACAGATTTTGACTTGGAAGAAGCTTAGTATAGCATTTTCTAAGAAAAGAAAATCAACAGCATTGACATATGTATAATTATACAGCACTGAAGCCAAAACTGCATAGAATAATCTTATCTGTAGGGAGGAACTGGAATTTCATGAGTGATTAGGTTGAAACATGCCTGCAGACTTTGACTTACAGGTCTCCACAGGAAAATATGAATTATAAGAGAGGAAAGGTTATGACTTAGTTCTTGGATCTGCAATACTTTATGCCAAGCATAAAGCTTTGAGCCAATCTTTGTACTTCAGATATTCCGCAGATAAAAATGCTACTATGAATGCATCATATAGAATATTAGACCTTATAAAGAATGAAAGACTTAAAGCAGAACTGATTCAAGCTAAGACACTGACAGATGCTACTGAAGATGGTTCCAGACACTAAGAGGCTTCAATCTCCCTTTAAACCTTGTTTGCATCCTTTTATAAATTATTCTTATAGCTTAAGTAACCCTCCTTGCTGTATGTTTTCTCTAGTTCCTTGTGACGCAAATGTGATTACCGCTGCACTATTGAAATGCTGCTCTCTGGTTCCTTGAACTCTATGCAATCTCTTAGCAGAAAACAATTTTGATCTACTCTTTGCAACATAAGAATTCTTGTTTTACTAAAATGGAATTCTTTACATTCTTTTTTTTTAATTGATCTTGAATATTCTTTTTTTTAAAAAAAGATTTATTCATTTATGCATATAAGAGCTGGGGTAAAGGCCAGAGATGTGGGGGGTGAGAGGACCCACCAGAGACAGAGTGGGGAACAGGCAGACTGACTGAAATACACTGCTGAGGGGAGCAGCGGGCGAGACAGGAGAGGTCTGCTTTGCCATATGGGTTTCTCTCTGGCCAGCCAGGGATCAAACTCGTGCCTCAGAGGCTGTGGATTGCTTCATAGTATGGTGCTTAACCCCTTGTGCCACCAGGGAGGCCCGAATTCTTTACATTCTTGAAGGCATTTATAAAGGATCGATCAGCCAACTTAATATTGAGAACTTACTGTATTTTAAATATTTGAACAGAATATAAAAAGCTAGTCAATTTCCAGATAGTGTCACTGTTTCATTGCACCCTCACTGAAAAACCTGTCAACTTTCCAAGTTGAGATTCAAAACCACTAATTCTGACCTTCAAAGCTTGATTTACCTCTGTACCACACTGGGTGTGCGTGCCCCTTATCCTAAATTATCTTCACTGAAAGGGAACTCACTTATCCTCTGACAAATTGCTCTTCCAAATTTGGTATTACTTAGTTGCCAGAGAAGAGAGATTCACACAGGGTTAGCCACAATACAGGAATTCTGGTATTGTATTTTAAGCAGTCAGTCAGTTGAAAAAGATAAGTTCTGCAAGTAGTTACAGGAAAGAATTAGGATTAAATAACCAATATCTTTTAGTTTTCCTCAAAATACTATACAAATGTACAATCTCTATTATTATTATAATTATTGGTGCCATATGCAAATCCCAATAATAGTTAACATTTGTTAAGTACTTACTATGTACCAAGCACTAATCAATGTACTACAATGCCTCTCAAGAAACAGTGCATATATATTTTTATAGCTACATATAGATATAGATATAGCCAAGCCAGATCATATATGTACATGTGTATTTGTGCGTGTGTATGTGTGTGTGTAAGTAATTTCATGTAATCTGTATAATCATCCTTTAATATGGGTGTTATCATTTTCATTTCACCAAGGAGGTACTGTGGCTCAGTTTCTGTAACCCACAGTGGCAGAGCCTGGCTTCTAACTAATCCCTCTCTGTCTCACACTATAGTCCTAGTCTGATCTACTATGCTGAAGTGCCCCTCCTGGAAACTTTCCTTCTTCTATTAACTTGCTAAAGAAAACAGTGACTGACTAGTTGTTGCCAGTCTTCCTTAGGGCTAAAAAGAGAAGAAATTAGCACAGCACATGTAGTGGGAGGGAAGCCCATGGGTGACTTTACTTTCAGAGTCATGACCTGATCCAACAGGTTATGAGTTCTGAAAGGAAGTCCAGTGGACATTCATTTTTAAATATAAATAACACCTTATCAGTAACCCACTAGAATTACTAAAAATCTAATATGTAAAACTAAAACTAATGTGAACTGTCATTTGCTGTGATCTCTAATATCATACTGTTAGAATTTAAACAGCTTCATAATGAAGTTAAGCACAGTTAAGTACATGGTGATGGTTACAATTCCTACTTGGGGAGGGACTTTTCTCATGAGGACAGTATTAGTATTATGTTGATTGGTCATGGTTTCCAATTTCTACTGATCTGCCATATTAATATATTTTTGTAATTACTGTTAGGTGTACTTTGTGGGTTACATTGTTTCTATATAATTGCTGAGTTATAAACTTTTGACTGTTATTTTCTCATGGATTCTTCTTATCATTCAGTTCTTTTTATATAAAGTGGGAATGAAAATTAAGAACTACTAAGATAGAAGGATGAATTTTCAATGATTTTCAGACCTTTTCTAGTCCTAGAAATCTCAGGCAAATATTTTGTCACTTCAGAACAATGCTAGAGGCTAAATGTTATTTTTCCCTAATTGCTAAGATTTCAGAGCTAATAAGTAGCAGAAAAGAAATTAAAATCAGGCCTGTTAATTCCAAAAATGACACTTTTCACTACATGACATGGTAACTCCAGAGTGTTTGTCATCTAATTCTCACTCCAGATTTCTTTGTGTGACTATCTTTTGAGGTAAGCAAATTTCGGATAATAATGACTTCCTGTTTTTTTGCAACAAAGATATTTCAGGGACCAAAATGAATGTTACGGGTAAAACAGCTTTAGATATACACAGCATATGAATAAAGACTAGGGGGAAAAAATCTTTGACTTTGGAATATCTTATAGGCATTCTGCAAAGGCTCACTGATCTTGGAACACTTGGATGTCTCTTATTGCTTCCAGCTGTCAGATGAAATTATTAAAGCACTGGCTATTTACTGTGTTAATCTCACCTCTCTCAGCATTGCTGGCTGTCCAAAGGTATGTGCAGGTGTTGGAGTTCAGACACGTCAAACTGAAGTATGACCAAAGAACACATGTAGGATAGCAGTCAGGAATTAGACTCATAGAACTTTGCTAAGTGTGAGGTATTCATTAGGGTTGTTTTCTGTTTCCCCAACTTGGAAATAGCTTTATGATTTCATTTGTGTCAAAGTAAAATTTGAAAAAGTTAAAAACAATTCTCACACAAATATAAAAATGAGCAAAGGTTTACTTAATTCATTATCAAAGAACCAGCAAAAATGGTTACATCAGTTCATAAAGCATTTGATCGAGCTGACTAAAGAAAGAATGTTGAAATTATTGTTAGGTTAGACCCAAAATTGGCTAATTTCTACAAGGTAATAAATTCATAAACTTAAGGTTATAGTTTCTATATATACAAGTGATTTTCATTTCTCCTGGACAAAAATATGAGAAATTAACATATAACTTCAGTTACTAAGGTTGGGCCCTACCCAGTCATAAAAAGTATGTCAAACAAAGGCATAATTCCCTACAAATTTCCTCAGGCAGGTCTGCTAAACAGTGTTCTGGTGTAATACTGAAAGCACAATCATGTTTTGTATGTATTATTTTGTATATATTACTATATAAATTATTTTCAAGGGTTTGGAAATTTTTCTTGGTATCTATTTACAAAAGAAACGTACTCACTATAAAAAGTTTGGACTACACATAGAAGCATAAAGGAGAAAGTAAAAATCTACTGCCATACCATCATCCAGATGTAACTATCATTGGGATTTTTATATATATTCTTCCAGAATTTTTCCTATGTATGAAGAAAGTAGACAGCTGTAGGCTTGTATTTTGTTTTGGAGACAAATACTTATAGAATCATACTTTCTAAAATGTATCATAAACCCTTTTTCTTTTCTCTTAATATACTAAAGACATATCTCCATATAAAGAAATAGAGCTCTCTGGCTCTGGATTAATGTGGCACATTAAATATCCACATATAATTCTGCTTCCTCTTGAAACCCTACCAAAACTTGAGAGGAAGAGTAAGGACCCACACTGATAAAGGAAACAGGAAGGGAGACAAAAGCAACAAAATTGAAAGCTAGAAGAACATTAACTAATTTGGCAGGCCAGAAACAGCTTTGAAGGTTAAGTTGACAATTGATTTACACTATAATCTTCAAAACTTGGCAGCACTGACTATCTCTACAACTGGGTTAAGGCAGTGACTAAAATAAGGAAGATGAGGTTAAAAGTTCTTGAGAAGTAAATAAATCCCTACATCTTCTCACTATTGCACACCTCTGGGTAATTGTCTCTCTCCATCCTCAACAGAAGATTGGAGATTTATTTCCTAGAGTCAGATTTCTTAGTTTTGGTATTAGTGATATTTTAGATGAAATCATTCTCTGTACTGGGGCCTGCTCTGCGCACTGTGGGATGCTTAACAAATCCTTGCCCTCTACCCACTACCTGTTGGTAGCACCCAGTTGTCCACCCCTCAAGTCAGGACAATAAAAAATGTCTCCAGACTTTGCTAAATTGTTCTCTTAAAGGCAAAATACACTATTAACTATTCTGCAGATAGAAAACAGAGGGTTGCTGGTTTGGGAAACATGATTATAACTGAGGACTTGGGCACAAATATCAAAACAGGAATTAAGTGGCTGAATGCAGAATCCTGAGACACTTAAGCACTTTTACAACATAGCATCCAACATTTGGCTGCCAGACCTTTCCCTCCAGGCAGGAGACTGAAAGTCTCTTTTCTGGAAACACTGACTAGCCCAAGATGAAAAAGACTGAAAAAAAATGACATTTCAGTTTCCAAATAAATAGCTCATCTAGATTATTGGGGTAGAAAGTACAGAAGGCCCACATCTTGCACCCGCTCCATCCAGTCAGTTTTTAGCCCTCCACTATTAGTTATGAGCAAGTAGTTGAGGCTTACCGGACATAAGAGAAACACCATAAAGTGTAAAATAAAAACCAAACAGGAAAAACTTGGAAGCAAAATACACAGAAGAAAAAGAATTAAAACATCTTTAAAAAATCCTCAGAAATGTTATCAACAAACTTTTCTTCTGTTGTAAACACCAACAGGTTGCTATTTACCTAAGCATCACCAGAACTGTCAAGATGCCCTGCATTCTAGTTGGTCTAAAAATTTAGCTTCTTTTGTTTAGTTAGTTGTGCAGTGAGTGGATGCTAGTACTTCTGATTCCTCCATAGTTAACTGTGCCACAATAAAGAGAAAGCTGCAGGGGGTGGGGGAGTGGTAAATTGTGGCAAAATTAAGCCAGAAAGTTTACAGCAAAATTTCTTTTGTTTAATATGCCATTGTTTAGAACTACAGAAATCAGAGGTCTTTCTGGTCAGCATCAATCTGGTTCTAGAAATGAGCTGGGTCAAGGCACTCAGCACACTAGCAGCACTGGGCAGGGGATGATGATGTTTGAGCAGTCTTAGCTCACAGGGTTCTTGCTTTCATTGCACATGGACACATGGGCAACACATGGCTCACTGGGAAATGCCCTGCTATATGGCAGGCACAGATGGAGACTGGGCTTTTTTAGTGGCTCTACTAATTAGGAAGGAAAGTAGGGGAATGAAAAAGGAAAGACTCAGGGAAAACAGGAATTGGGGCAAAGAGTTTTGTTTTGCTTTGGATTTTTGTTTCCTTGGTAAGAAGAAACTGAGGGAATTCTTTCTAAGACTGTGCAGTGGATACTACCTTTCTGTCTAGAAACTAGAGCCTATCACATGGATATCATGAAAATAATTATTCTACATCAAAGATATCAGATGAGATCAAGGAAAGGAAGTGGCATATTTCAGAATCTATATGTAAAGGAGAATAGGGTTCAGCTTTACCATTTCTGTGGGTGACATGAATATTCTGATGCAGAAGATATGGATAATCTGAATGTTCCTCACTCAGAAATCATAAGGCTATAGCTCGGTCTAATATAATACACCAGAAGATGTGGTATATTTATACAATGGAATACTACTAAGCAACAAAAAATGGAATTTTGCCATTTGCAACAACATGTATGGAACTGGAGGGGATTATGTTAAATGAAATAAATCAAAAGGAGAAAGACAAATACCAGGTGATTTCATTCATATGTGGAATATAACGAAACAAAACAAAGGTACAAATAAAACTAAATCAAAGCAAACCTAGAAATCTGACCTCAGAATTGAAGCACCAGATGGGAAGATAGGGGTCGAGACACAGGAGGGGAGGGGTCCCAATGGAATATGATGGAAGATTATTGGTGCTTTGGTGAATTATTGGTGCTTTGGTATGGGTATGGTGTGGTCACATACATCTGAAGAAGTGTGAACATATAGACCTAAATATAGTGTTGTAAATCAATGTTACTGCAATAAAAATACCATATATATGTATACACACACACACACACATATATATACACACATTTTTTTCTATCTACATTGCTTTTGATGAGCCATAAAATACATTATTCTGGCTCATCACCTTAGGCTAGATTTTTCAAAAGCCCAAAGGTCAATTTTTAATAGTCAGTTTATTTATTTCCTAGAAGGTCAGCTCTTCTTTACAACCACCAAGGTCAATAAGTAGTAATGTGACCTCACCCTATCTAGCATTAAAATGCAAATAAAGGGCCTCCCCGGTGGCGCAGTGGTTGAGGGCTGGGTTGCAAAGCTGCCCGCAGCCTCTGCAGCGCCAGTTCGATCCCCAGCAGCCAGGCGAGGGTCCCACATGGCACACAGACCTCTCCTGCCGCCCGCTGCTCCCCTCAGCAGTGTACTTCGTCAGTCTGTCTGCTCTGCTCTCCACTCTGGCTCTGGTGAATTCTCTCACCCTCCCGTGTTTCTGACTGTACCCAGTGCTTGTATAAATAAATAAATAAATCTTTAAAAAAATAAAATAAAATGCAAGTAAAATAATTGCTGCTCAACAGCAATGAGTTCAGGACATTACAAATCTGGGGGTGAACAATGTAGTTAGTCATCTCTATTTCCAGTTCTCTTTCCCTGTAGTCCCAACAACATAACCTCACACCACGGAACATTCAGAAAATGTGTGACTTCTTTCCAATTCCCCGTATCAGTAAAAACTAGCACTCTGAACTCCACTTGTCCTGGACTTTTCCATCACCTCATTGTCTTTTCTTTTTCACATTGTGTATTTTCCTTCCAATAACATCAGGTCCTCAGAGACCCATATAGCCAAATGTCTGAAGGCATTTTTGTGAGACTCATTTGCTATACTAAAGCTTGGTCCTTAGCATGTTCTGGAAACAGGGCATGCTTAAACAATGACAGCATCTATTTTTTCAAACTTAAAAGTGTACATTTCAAATTGAAGGATTTTTCTGCATAATTATCAATTTTATATTAAAAATAAGAGCCAAGCTTCATGACATATGTTTTTTAGAATGTTCAGACATTGAAAAAAATAAATTAAATCCAGTTGAAAAAAAAAAAGTCCTTTGGGGAGAGTAACTGGTAGATTCTACAGCAAGTTTCACTTCAGCTATAAATTCAAAAGCTACACTGTAAGTGGAATAATCTCTTAAGTGGAGTTGAATTATCTCTGCATAACATCTGGAAAAACTAACGATATTGGAACCCTCAGCAGAATTTCTCAGAGTGAGATTCATGTAGTTGCTGTGGTGTCTACTCTTCTTTCTCCCCTGTCTACAAACATCTGTCTCACCTAATTGTCCCTTTTTTAGAACCATGTTACTCCCCACACAAACCATCAAAAATGCCCAGATCCCTTCTCATAGCAATCTGATATTGTCTTCAGGTTAAGCTCAAGGGATGTCTATATATATAGTTTTTTAACATGTAATGTTACTAAAACTTTTCAAATTGGTAATACCTCAGGATGTATATCAAGTTTAAAGATAAATCCCATTACTGCAGCATCTTATAAATTGCTCATATTGGTGTGTCCGGTATTTCTAAGGAAATTCTAATGAAGTTCCTCATCCAAACCAGAAAACTCTAAAATAACAGCAAGATCACTAGTAGTGGTGCCACTTTAAGTATAATATTTTACTATTATGACCTTATTTGGAAACAGAGGTAAATCACTAACTTGAGTTACAGGCTCATCATGTGATAGGTGGTCAAAGAGAACCTGCAGGGGTTCTGATTCTGTTAGTTATGGAATGAATGTTTGTGTTCTCTGCAAATTCATAGATTGAAATCCTAGCCCGCAATGTGAGGAAGGTGGATTCAAATGAAGTCATGAGGGTGGAGTCCCCATTATAAAATTAATGTCCATATAAGAATAGTGTGAAATTAGAGTGCTCTCTCTGCCATAGAAGGATATGGCAAGAAGGTGACCATCAGCAAACCCAGGAAGAGGACCTTCACCAGACACTGAATCTGCGAGCACCTTGATCTTGGACTTCTAACCTCCAGAATTTTAAGAAATAAATGTTTACTGTTTAAGCTACCCAGTCTATGATATTTTGTTACAGCAGCACAAACTGACTAGTATACTGTTCTTCCCTGTGATAGAATTTGTTGAGATAATCAGAACTTACTTTGGCTGTGTGTTCAGATTACTGACTCAGCGATGGAGATGTTAACGGCAAAATGCCACTACCTACACATTTTGGATATTTCTGGTTGTATCCTGTTTACTGACCAAATACTTGAGAACCTTCAGATGGGCTGCAAACAACTCCGTATCCTTAAGATGCAATACTGCAGACTCATTTCCAAGTAAGTACATATCTGAATATGAAAAGCTGAAAAGCTTTGAAAACTACTTTTAGAGAAAACAGAATATGTGAGAGTCATTTGTAATTCATAGTTACTTTTAGAAATATGATGGCTCATTTTATTTTTTGCCTAATGGGTTCAGTCATCATTTTGAGCTGAAAACCAAGACAGACTCTACTAAAATGGCTTTTGTGACAATGTCCCTTCCCAGAAACCCTTCCACTTTAAACACTTTCCTTTCCTTTTAATGCAGGTGTCCAAAGTCTTGACTCTGCTCCTTGTGGTATTATTTCAGTTCTTCCTCTACTCATGTTTCAAAACATTTCCATTCAATAACCTCTAGAGGTTAAGAAATTGGATTAAATCAGCTCATAATAAATAATAAGTTATCTTAAATTCCATCTCTCCCAAATCTTGATAGTTGTTATTGATTTAACCAGAGATTTCCTATTAGTTCTAGGATTCAGAGTAAGGTATTGCAATAAGACCACTACAGGCCATATGCTTGTTCCTTCAATTTGCAAAATATTTCAAATAAAATAAGAGTTAAGTAAATGGGCAATCAATAGAAGTAGAGGCTCTGATGTCCACCCTGTGAGTTTTTAAATAGAAAGCAGTTCTCTGCTCTATGGTTGAATTTTTTCCTATTAGATGAGAGTTAAAATGTGTATTTTAACTGACCTGATGAAGTATGAAGTATTTATCTCTAGTTCTTCCCTTCTCATTTGTGAAGTATTCAATAAGAGAATTCTTGACCAAGCCTTAAGGTCAGGTGCTTTTCTGCAGGTTGGAAAAATGAACACCAGTATTAATATTATCAAAGTATAAAGTACATATGCAGTGCAAGCAAGTAGATTTCACAAAAGAGCTTTCTTAATTAAGCAGAATGGCATGTGCTGAACCATGTGATCTGGTTGGTCATGTGAGGCCTGAGGAAAAATGCTTTCTGATCCAAGGCTGTGTGTGAAAATTAAATGGAAAATAAAACAAAAACTATTAGTTATAAAAAAAAGCACTCCCACTGAGCCCATGCTTGTAGGGGAAGGGGCAGTCTACTGAAGATGCATCAGAAGAAAGGGGACAGGTCCTTGAAATATTTTGAAATATTTCGAAGAGGAGTGGCAACTCAATCCTTCCTGAGCGGTCTGGATGATATGGATATTAACGTCATTTAAAGAGGATATCACGAAATAAGGTTCTAGGAGTTTCTGCCAACCTTTTTATAACATTAAACACGTTAATCAAAGGAGTATAGCTTTTAATCATTTGATTGTATTTAGCCAATCACTGTTTCGGGATGGTAATATTATTGAACTTCTATTAAGTGGGACTTACTAAATAAAACGAATGGAGACATTTTGGCAATAGCCTCTTTGAACCTAATAAATTTATGGGCTTTTAAAAATAATTTTATGGGCTTTTAAAGTGTGATTAATATGGCATTTGGTCAAGAAGATCCAAGATATCTAGCAATATCCAAATCCTGCCACTGACTACTCACTTCCCTTTGAAGTCACTAAATTTACAATATGCAAAGAAAACAAAATTAGGCAAAGTAAGATTTTATTACTAGCTGCACTTGGACAACAAAACCTAAATGCAAAACTCTAGTTAATTAACTTAATCAGTGGAAACTTCCTTTACTTAAGCCAGTGTTACAAAAATGCTTATTTTGTCTGTTTTGTTGTCTACCACTAACCCTGGATGTCCTTATCAGCAAGAAACAGTGACTTGGCCCTGAACCTAAAAGGATGCTGGTTTTTCTGTACATCTCATTGTTTAAAGAAGCCAAACCATCTTAGTCTCCCTTACAGCTCTAATCCTGTTAAGCTCCAGGAGGAAAGGAGCCTAGAACCCCCTGATTTTAACTTTGTCTAGAGAAGTGGTAAGGACTGGCCATTGCAGCTGTTTGGACTCAGCTTTAGGGACTGGAAAGCAGCTTCCTTCAAGATCCTTGGAGGGAATTAGACATGCTACACAGAGTATATAACAGCTGACCATGTACTTGTCAGGTCTCTCTTAACCCAGAGGCCACAGATGCCTGTTCGATACATGGATGAACTTTAGGGAATCCATGAACTCCCTGAATATATAGTTTTGTATCTAATTTTGTGTGTGTGTGTGAAGAGGTTTTGTGACTTTCATCAAGTTCCAAAGGTGTTTGTTCTTGACCTAAATGCTGTTACTGATTCTCTTGGAAGGAAGGAAGACAAGCAAGCAAAAAGACGGCATCAGGAAAATGTATGTTTAACTTGAAAACAATGACATTTCAAAGACAGAAGAGTTTTTCTAGGAAGTTGATTTCAATCATGAGACCAGTACTAACAAGAAAATTGGTAGCTTTTGTAGTATCAGAAATTAACAATGATTTGCACAAAAAGAGGCTACTTGCCCACTGTAACAATGAGACATTGATTATTATTAATTGCAATAACTCTGAAAACTGAGTGATTGATATGGAAGTTGGCATTACCATATGTTTAGAGTTAAATTTGTGTTCAGTAGCTATATGAGTTCAGATAAGGCAATAAAATGGGGTGGGGGAAGGAAGCTGAGATACATCAGTTAAACTATAGTTTCACTTGAATCAAATCTTAGATGTATATTAAAATAACTATAACCAAAGCACTGTTAATTCTGTCTCTTACCATATACTTTTTGGCTTGTATGTATGCGTTCACACAGACTTTACACAAGTTTAAAGAAGTCAAGTAAAAGCAATTTTTATACTGATTTCTAGTTTTAAGCCACCAATTCTGTGGACTAACTTATAAATAAGCATCTTCTCTTTAGAAAAATACTTATTTTTAAAGGCTAAATGAAACTTTATAGTCAAAGTTAAGATTTTGCAGTCTATTAAAATAACAGTATTATATCTTTTACGTTCTCTACTCTTTGCTCCTTAAGTCTTTTTTTCCTTTCAATTCTTTGGAATTGAGATTGCCATGTCCTTGAAGGTGTTTTCTGTGAGTTTGTTTTCCCTTGAGGACCACACCATAATTCCAAATGTTGGGGGAATCTGAACCGTAAACATTGGCCCTTGGTTTCAAATGGGTAAAACATTACCCTAGGCCACAGGGATCTATTGTTTCTCTATCCTTCACCCAATCTTTGCCTGTGTAAACCTTACCCATCTTTCAAAACTCCAAACCAACCCCACATCTTTTGTAAAGACCCAAACCCAACCCCTTCCTCCTCTGAATTTCTAAAGGATGATCACAGAATTTTCTTCCAATACACAGCTTATAGCATTGCTTATCATTTTAAACTTTGCTATGTTCCTTTTTCTAATAAGGTACTAAATTATTTAAGAGAAAGTTACAAGTCTTTGTATCTACCTGAAGCCCAATGTTAATAGTCAAAACGAGATTTCATTCAGCCGCTTACACCAAGAAGTCCTTTAGCTCTGTGTCCTCTGCTGGTTTGTTGGTTTAGCAGAAGCACTCTTAGTTTCCTTGTTCCAACACCCTCCCCTGCTTCCCAGCAGTGTTCTGGACACATATGCTATAATTCAGTTGTTGGTAATGATTCAATGCAACTGATGATAACATCTGCAGTTAGAGGCAACAACAGTCTTGACCCATAGGAAAAGGACATGTCTATTTTGGGGAATAAAAGATTTTTAAATAGTTGACTATCTAATCTTTGGCCTCAGAAGAACCACCATTTTGAAGAGTTCTAGATAACCGGTAAGGGGCTAAGTACTCTTAATGCCAAGTCTGGGAATATATAAATATTAGGTCATATAATTCCTCACTCAGCAATAAGCCAGGGCAAATTAGGTAATATTTAAGACATGAAAACAATAAGCAAATAATGGGAATTTGAGAAGATAAAAAAAGTTTGGGGCTGTTGACTCCTTAATATAAACAAGGTTCGTTAGTATACTCTCTTATCAAAGAAACTGAAAATAATAGTCAGAGGGCTCCTGAGTGAGCCCTCACTGTGTTCCCACTCCAAGGCCATGCATTGTTAACTTGCCCATTCACTGTGTCTATTTATCTCTAAACTGGTAGAGTAAGAAAGCTATTTAAGTTCGGCAATCTGATTATTAGCACAATTATTTCCCACATCCACCTCCTAATAAGGCCAGAATGCTGTAAGGTGAATTCAACTGGTGACAGTGAGTTCTTTGACTCCAAATTTGATCTACGTTGAAAATTCTGTATACTAGTGATTACTTTTCTAACTGGCTAATGCAAATCACTGTCATTACAGGGAGGCAGCTAATAGAATGTCATCTAAAGTTCAGCTACAAGAATACAATCCCAATGACCCTCCACCTTGGTTTGGTTATGATTTTGAAGGTCAACTTCTCACACAGAAACATAAAACACTACATGAAGATTCAACATCGCCAGTGATAAAGCCAGGAGAAAGAGAAAGTAGTATGGTCTACAGCCTCTAGCGGGAAGAACAAAACCCTCTAGAATTTGGCAACTTCATTTGATGCAAATGTTTCTACTGGTTGAATCTCAGTAACAATGTAAACAAGCAACAAATCATCTCCTGATTCTCTTTCCAACTACAAATGTTTCTAAATATATCATTAGTTCTTTTGTCTAATAATCATGATTTCTAAAAAAAAAGGAAAAAATGCAAATCAAGTACCGCTACTATGTAAATTTTCTACCTAAATTTACCTTAATCAAACCAATAGTTTTGATGAGATTAGCAAATCTAAGGTTATATGAAAACAACCCCAAGAGGTGATGTTTTTTTACAAGGAATTTAGAAGTCCGTCTTTTCTATAGAAAAGAAAAAGCAGGGATGGAAAAGGACTTTAAAGATCTGGGAGGCTTTAATATAACAGACACAGACATACATTATTTTAATGGAAACTAGGTTTTCTTGTGATATTTAGATATTTTACCACAAAAGAGACTAAATGCCAATTAACCCCATACTCATGCCCACACCTAACAGTCAAGGGAAAAGAAATAGAAGAGGGAACTATATCTGAATAGAATGGATGTCCCTGCAGTGTCTCAGAAAGATCTTTTCAAATTTGCACTATGGAGGAATTTTTCAGCACTGCAATGCCAAAAAAGATGATCCCCCAATTTTATGCTAGGAGATATGCATTATTAACTGCATATCTACACATTAATTTTTATTAAGCTTTCATCTAAGGATTTTTACATTCTGCCAAAAGATAGTAACTCTTTCCAGATTTTAACAGAATTAAGCGACCACTTACCAGTGTATCTTATATTTTGTAACTGCTGTTGATAGAGAAAGCACACAACTCTGCTCTGACTGCCACAAACAAGCTATGTCTATATTGGATCAGTCATCTAATTTTTCTATTTCCTCCATTTTATTTATTCCTAAATGTGGCTAATCAGTGTCTTTTTGTACTACACAAATTTGAAGTAAGGTTGAAGCTTAAGATAAAGGATATAAGAGTTATTTTGAAAAGTTTGAAAGGGCTATACAAATTGTTATACAGTATAATATTCGCTCAATGCTTTTAGTAACTCTCCCTTTCTTAGGTTGATTTTGAGAGGTTTCAAAATAAGGGAGTATCACTTAGCTGTGGAGTGATTTCCTAAGAGTGGGAAGTACAGGAATCAGCTAAGCAGGAGAATTTAAGACCTGAGTAAAGACATGACGACTATTCTAGAAGATGATTTTAAACTAAATCTGGAGATTTCTGACAGCTGCATAGAAGTTGGCTCTGATTCTGCATGTCTGGTGCCTAAGAATCTCACACACACAACTGGACAAATGTTTGGTAAGAGACTCAATTGTTGTTGTTTTTTAATATTTATTTATTGGGCCTCCCCAGTGGTGCAGTGGTTGAGCACTGGGCTGTGAAGCTGCCCACAGCCTGTGCAGCACCAGTTGGGTCCCTGGCCGCCGGGCAAGGGTCCCACATGGTGCACAGACCTCTCCTGCCGCTCGCTGCTCCCCTTGGCAGTGTACTTCGTCAGTCTGCCTGTTCTGTTCCCCGCTCTGGCTCTGGTGAATTCTCTCACCCTCCCGTGCTTCTGACTGTACCCAGTGCTTGTGTAAATAAAAAATATTTTTTTAAAAGATTTATTTTATACAAGAACTGGGGTACAGGTCAGAAGTGGGGGAGGGTGAGAGAATTCACCAGAGCCAGAGTGGGGAGCAGAACAGGCAGACTGATTGAAATACACTGCTGAAGGGAGCAGTGGACGAGGCAGGAGAGGTCTGCTGCGCCATGTGGGGTTCTCCCTGGATGGCGGGGAATCTAACCGGTGCTGCAGAGGCTGCAGACAGCTTCGCAGTGCGGCACTCAACAGCGGTGCTCAACCACTGCACCACAGGGGAGGCCCGACTCAATTGCTTTCTAATTAAATAATAGGAAGACCAGAATTAGGAGAAACATATCCTGCTATGTTCTCTAGAAACAAAGCAGGGTATTGTACTGTCAAAGCTTGCTCCAAAATTCTGTAAGATCCTCTTTTAAACATGAACAGAATAGTTTGTTTATTATTGACACAAATTTTATAGCTACAGAAAGGGAAGAAAAGACATAGCTGTTAAAGTGCGATAGGGTGAACAGATGGCAAAACTTTCAAATTCTCAGTGAAAAGTACACAAGGTTGGGGGCCTCCCTGGTGGTGCAGCGGTTGAGCGCTGGGTTGTGAAGCTGCCCGCAGTCTCTGCAGTGCCAGTTCGATTCCCCGGCTGCTCCCGGTCACCGGAGGGTCCCACATGGCGCGCAGACCTCTCCTGCCACCCGCTGCTCCCCTCAGCAGTGTACTTCTGTCCTTCTGCCTGCTCTGCTCACCGCTCTGGCTCTGGTGAATTCTCTCACCCTCCTGCACTTCTGACTGTACCCAGTGCTTGTATAAATAAATAAATAAATCTTTAAAAAAAAAAGTACACAGGGTATCAAAAATATCATTGGGTCTTCAGGTCTTTTAACTCACAATCATTTGAAATATACAATGAGCCTGTGTTCAAGAGAGCAAAACACAGCAAGCTTTTTCTTTCTAGTTTGGGTTTGACTGTGCAATATATACAATTCCTTTAATAAAGTTTAAATGTAGCTGACTGCTGGGTAACTTTCCTGGCTGCTGTTGGCTAATTTCATAAGCTTTACTTTTAGTCATAAAAATGTTTATATAATAGCACGAAGGAGAAAAAAAGAGTACAACATTGCCTCAGTTTCCTATACTTAATGGTTTAATACATACACACACACACCCCCTATAACCCCATCAATCATACTAATGTGTATCGCCCAAACTTGTACAAATTCTTATTTCATGAAAGGTCATCTAAAATAATTCCACAAAGGTGATCATTTGTTTCATAAATAAACTAAAAACAGTAGTCTAAATAAACCAAGTATTAAAGAGATTATTATAAACCAAAATATTTGGAAAGGCTTATTAGAACTCATTGTTTAGAAAGTGATTTATTCATACTGAATAGTTTAATGCAGGCAATCCCTATAAGAGAATGGAGATATAATTTTTTTAATGCTTGAATTTTTGAATTGTTACCATTGTGCTGTACTATAATAGGAATGCCCAGGAATTCACTTTAAAAATAGTACTAACATTTTAATTATGTCTACATTTAAGCACCATTCCCAACAGTATTATGAATGAACAATGTTATTTTAAGGTAAAAAAATGTTTTTTTAAGTCTGAAGGTAAAACAACTTTGCCACTTCTTATTCTATGACCTTAGTTAGGTTTTGTTTCTGTAGCAAGACCTTCGGCAATCATTTCATCTGAACACTAATGAATTCCAGCTACTCCACTTTGTGACTGGTTTCTGTAGGGAAATGTCATTAAACAGGAGGGTCTAAAATACTGTAATTGTAACTTGGAAATAGGACACTAATATGCTGAAACTGGGATACTTTTTAGTAAGAGTATCACTAAAGATAATTTCTACTTTCCCCAGATATAACATAGGGGAATGGGTATGGTTATATAATTGTAGAAGATGTTGTCCTTGACTAAAATTGTTATTACCTGGGATGATTATTGTTTTCATTTAATTCTCAATATAAGAAAAGAAAAAATGTAATGCCTCTGTAAAAAAGTGAATTATCCTAAACACAAAAAATATAATCCATAGATAGGTCTATTTAGTATAATTTAAATGTTCCAGAAATAGATAAGTTAGGTTTGATAGATAATTCATAAAATATACAGTATACCATTATAAAAGTGAAACACTATACTATCAGATTTTAAACAGCTGTATGTTTCTCCTCCTCAATGCAAAAAACAAACAAAAAACAGTAGCAATCACATCCCATTTATGATGTGCTTTTATTCATAGCTTAAATTTACATTGATATCATAAGAAATACTAAATAGAAAACATTACTGGAGGACTATGGTGCAAAGATAACTATCCCCATCATCTATGCCTTTGTGTAATGTCTTCTTCTCGAGTGTCCATGGAAACTAAATGTAATGACATACCACTTCCATGACTGTGGTAGGCAAGACTTAATCAACCGAGCCCTTTTAAAAGCAGATTGTTCTCCAGTGAGTTGAGAAGAGGTCAGCTATTCAAAGCACGAGAAGAACTGAATGTATCACTGTTGGCTTGAAGATGGAGAGAGCCGCCTATGAAGGGATGGGGGTGGCCTCTGAAGTTCAGCGTGATGGCTGACTCATAGCCAGGACAAGATCTCAGTCATATAATCATAAGGAACTGAATTTTGCCAAACATGAGTGACCTTTGAAGTAATTTTTCCCCAGAGCATCCAGATGAGAACGCAGCCCAGTTAACACTTTTAGTCCAGTTTGTGAATAACTTGAGCACAGAACCAAATCATACTGTGCTCTTCACCTACAGAGCAAACAAATTAGTATAATATCTAAGTACGAATATTAAAAAAACAGACCACCCCCAAGACAATTCACCAGTATTCTTTCCAATTTGTTATTTTCAACCTTAACATGAAGTTTGATAGTTGTATGTTTGTTAATAGATCTGCTAATCATTGTTAAAAATTATAAATACAACTCAAACCATTAGTCCTGCAGTTTTAGGGACTGAAACCAGTTTTGACTTCTAAAACTTATAGTGCCTTTTGGGGCATCAGCCTTAATCCATTTTTCATGTTTGCTTGCTTGATTCATGAGTCCTGAAACACAAAATTACATAAAGTTATATCTTAACTGGTGAGCAATACTTGACTACATAGTTCCTAACAACACATGTCTCAAACTGAAAAACACTTTGGAACAGCAAAAATCCTTTCTTTTTTTGCATGCAGGTTTTAAAAAGAACTTAAGTACAAGTGATGAACTGCATGTATTTAAAGTATGCAATACACTAAGCTTTAAATTATGTAACAATGTGAAATCATCTCCGCAATCAAGATAATGAACAAATTTGTCATTCATAATAGTTTTGTTGAGACCCTTAATAATCTTTCTCTCCTGCTTCTCCTTGCCCGTCATCTCCACCTTTTCCCCTACCCCTTTAAATCACTTTGTATCCATATTAGTTGTATTTCAACATTTTAATAATTTGAATCATAGTAATGTTCTATTAAAAAAAAAAGTCTCGGTTCTTTCACCTAGTATAATTATTTTGAGGCTCATGCAGAAAGTATGCATGAGACAGGGAGTTTCCTCACACAAGTGCTGATCACTACACTGCTAAATGTTCATGGGTACCCTGTGCAGCTCCTTCCTCTCTAGAATTCTCCTTTGTGAAACTCTAGCAGCGCATGAATCCCTAGATGATCAGCTCGATTTCTTTCACTTGGAGAATTTGTTGGACTCTGCATGTGTTATCCCTCCCTGCCCTGCATCCCAGAAACTTACGAGGTACTAAACCATGTCAATCATGGAGCCTACCTGGTTCATTTCCATCTCTATTCCTCTAGTTCTGTGTTTTTTCATTCAAGCAAGGGAATGAAGGTATTACACCTGCTCTGAACCATCACCGCAATTCTGGATTTAAGAAACCAGTCAAAACTGGTGTGAATATACTGCTTCAATTCATAAATACTTTCTTGGTTCAATCCAAACACAAATCGGGAAACAATCCTTTTCCTTGGTATAGTTTTTTTTTTCCTTTGTTAAAAGTTACATATGATAGTCTCAGGTGATGAAAAGGTACCATCAAATCTTTGTGCCATGTGTTGTTTTTTTTTTAAATGAAACTAATAACTCATTTAAGTGACATTCAAAATAAATGTTCACAAATCATAGCCTTTCTTCAGAAATACAAATGTATGGGTCAATCAGGCATCCACAGTGATAAGCTAATTGAGACTTTTATGTGAAATACAGCTGATTTCTGGTTGTGTTAGGGCAGGTTTGCCTGTAGTTGTGCTATCACAAGTCTGTGATATTAGCCTCAAGGCTTTTTTTTTTTTTTTTTTTAAGAGGCATGTTTTTTTTATTTATTTATTATATTTGTTTGTTTTTGTTTATACATGCACTGGGTACAGTCAGAAGCGCGGGAGGGTGAGAGAATTCACCAGAGCCAGAGTGGGGAGCAGAGCAGGCAGAAGGACTGAAGTACACTGCTGAGGGGAGCAGCGGGTGGCAGGAGAGGTCTGCGCACCATGTGGGATTCTCCTCCGGTGGCTGGGGAGCAGCCGGGGATCGAACCGGCGCCGCAGAGGCCGCGGGCAGCTTCGCAACCCAGCGCTCAACCGCTGTGCCACCGGGGAGGCCCCTCAAGGCTTTTTTGATACAAATTCTTCTCTGAATTCTTGTCTCCCTCCAGTCTGAGCCACAATCTCATCTAGAGTATGAAGTTCACTGCAACTTTTTCAAAACACAGTTTAGTATTTAATGACTTTCTCTGGAGTTTTTCCTCTACTTCTCTTCTGTAATTTCAATATCATCATGATCCCACTTCCCATTAAACTGGTTAAAGTTACTCTCATTCGAAATGATAAATCCCTATGTTAGAAGTGTCTCATTTTTACTCTAACTTTTCATTAAGAGGCTCAGCTTTGTCAGTTTTAATCTGCTCTTTTTTGTGCCTGTGTTGTATTTGGTAGATCAAGTTTTTGAAGTTACTTGCACCCCACATTTCTCTATAATACAGAATTTCTTTTTATAATAATTCATATAAACATAAAGGAACGAATTAGAAATAATGAGTGTTCTTTTTTTAATACAATATTTAGAATCAATAATGAAGTATCAACAATAGTGAAAGTTTCCCCAAATACCTGCGATCTTTTCCTCAACATATTATTCACCATTGCCCAAGTCATGTGATTCTTGCTTAATGAGAGAAGCCAACCTACCCACTTCCTTCTGCAACAGTAGAAGCCACACCTAGTGTTACTCCTACTAACAAAATGAATCCCAAGTGATTTTAGCTTAGATACCAAGCCAAAAATCAAGAGTTTATAAAATGCCATTTAGATTGCTTAAAATATAGCTTTCTCTCTCTTGCCAATAATTTACTGAAAGCTCTTATACATGGGTCTGAATCTTGTGGAGACTATTTTATATTTTAAGGTTTGTGAATCCTTCCTGAATAAATCTTGCGGCATATATTGGAACTTGGACTTCCAGAAACCTCATTCCTTTAACTTTTTTTGCCATGAAAATTTGATAGGTTTTTGTTTGTTTGTTTTTTAACTAAGAAAAGAGAAATAACTATCCTATCCCTATGCAGCATGGCCACCATTAAGTGGAAGGAAGATTCCTCTCAGGACATGTTTGTAAACTCTGGCATTTTCCTTTAAATATGCCCTGTCCAAATCTACCCAAATATAGAGTCTCCAAGTTCTTTTTATTTAACCTGATCTAACTAGCACTAACTCTGGACAAAGACAGGAACTCTAGGAATAATCTGAAGAATTTAGTGTAAAAATAGGGTTAAAATCCTTCTTGGACAAGGTGAGCTTATCCTGCCCCCTACCCCTACCCCTCCCACTCCCAAGCTTAAACAGACTTATTTACGCCTGGTTCAGAGGGATAATTCTGCTGCTGCTTTAGTAGCAACTAGTGAAATTTCAGTGCTTCAAAGTCAGAGGACTCCTGCTTTTACACTGTAAACACCAGTGACCGCCCAGTACGGAAGGCACAATGCTCAGTATTTTAGAGAGGTTCAGAAGACTTTGAAAAAAAAACCAGACTGATGCCTTTTAGAAAAATTGCCCAACTGACTAGAAAATTAATGATATACTTAAGAAACAACATAAAAATAATTACTTTGAAATTTGAGTGTTTTTTTTGTTTTGTTTTTGTTTTTTTTTTGTGGGACCCTCACCAGTGGCCAGGGATCGAACCGGTGCTGCACAGGCTGTGGGCAGCCTCGCAACCCAGCACTCAACCACTGCGCCACCAGGGGAGGCCCGAAATTTGAGCTTTTAACACATCTATTTCACAAAAACATTCACACAACATACAATTTTATAGCCAAATATTTTAATTTTGTTAAACTATTTAGTCTTTAACTATTTAGTCTTTCCCTTGACAAAAACATAATGCAAGACACCTTGACAACAAATTTTTACTAATAAGAAAATATTTTTAGCTAGTTTTAATGATGTCCACCATATTTTCTCTCAATTATCCAAAATAATAACAAGATTGACAGTAGTCTAAAAGTTGATCAAGTATACAATTGGCTTTGCCCAAGAAATATTCTTGAAAACACTTATCTTCCTCAATTTTTTGTCTCATTCTATCAATTATATATATTTTTTTGTCTCAGGCATTGTAGTTTTCATTTTAAGAAGTTCAATTTTGATCTTTTTTTATATCTTCCATGTCTTTATTTAACTTTCTGAACATGTGGACTACAGTTATAACTTCTATTTTCCTTCCCTGCTAATTCTAACATCTGTGTCAGTTCTAAGTTTTAACAGACTATTCATTATGATCATATTTTCTTGCTTCTTTGCATATCTGATAATTTTTGGCTGGATGCCAGAAATTGTGAATTTTTTTGTTTGTGCTAGATATTTTTGACTCCTGTAAATCTTGAGCTTTGCTCAGGAATGCAGCTAAGTGACTTGGAAACAGATTGTTTTTTATCTTTTTTATAATTTGCTAGGCAATTCTGGAGAAGTGTTCAGCCTACAGTTAACTGTTTGCAACTAAGTGCTCTAAACCAACTCAATGAATCTTTCCAGTCTGACAAGGTAACACAGGCATTATTCCTGGACCTGTGTAAACACCAGGTTCCAATTCTCCTGGTACTGTTTGTCCTATGAACTCTAGCTGTCTTCGTCTCCATGGATTCTCATCACAGCATTTCAGGGAGTCTGCTGGGCACCACATTTATTTCCTTTCCCTTTATTACAGCCTAGAATCTTTTAAGACAGTGAGCAGGAAGTTATTCTGTTTCAGATCTTTGTGATCCCTTTCTCTGCCAGATATCTAGTGTCTTGAAATTTTTTTTCATGTATTTTGTTTAAAAAATTCTGTTATTGGGCCTCCCCGGTGGCGCAGTGGTTGAGTGCTGGGTTGCGAAGCTGCCCGCAGCCTCTGCAGCGCCGGTTTGATTCCTGGCTGGCTGCCCGGCAAGGATCCCACATGGCGCGCAGACCTCTCCTGCCGCCCGCTGCTCCCCTCAGCAGTGTATTTCGGTCCTTCTGCCTGTTGTGCTCCCTGCTCTGGCTCTGGTGAATTCTCTCACCCCCACTCCCGCACTTCTGACTGTACCCAGTGCTTGTATAAATAAATAAATAAATCTTTAAAAAATAATAATAATAAAATAAAAAATTCTGTTATTGTTTTAGGTGGGAGGATAAGTAAGTACTGTTTCCCCTCCCTTTTTGCCTAAGTTTTCATTTTTTTCTTCCTCCCTCTTCTTCTATTTGTCACTCTTTCTCTGACTTCCCTTTCTGCTTACTCTTCTTGCTTTGAAATAAAGACGTACCAGAAGTTGCAAAAACAGAACACAGGAAGGCTGTGCACCCATTTCCCAGTACCCCAATGGAGACATACAACTCCAGTGCATTATCAGATCCAGATAAATGTTTGGTAAAGTACAATTAGACTTATAGATCATATTCAGATTTTACCACTTTTTTTTAACATCTTTATAATCAAAATACAGAACTGTTCTATCACTACAAAGGAAGTCCCTTCTGCTGTAACTATATAATCCTTTTTTGTTTTTAAGAAATCCAGGTTAAACAAAAGCAAAGTCAAA